TACCAATCCATGGACATGAGATATTTTTCTATTTGTTTGTATCCTTTGCAATTTCTTTCATCAGCGTTTCATAGTTCTCCTTGTAGATCTTTCACCTCCTTGGTGAATATATTCCTAAGTATTTTATTTTGTTTGTAGCTACTGTGAATGGTATTCAGTCTTTGATTTTATCTCAACTTGACTGTCATTTGTATTTAGAAACGATACTAATTTGTGTACATTGATTTTGTAACTTGAGACTGTGCTGAATTTATTTATCAATTCTAGGAGTCTTTTGAGTCTTTTGGTGGAATGTTTGGGATTTTCTAGATACAAAGTAAAAAGCAACAGTTTGACCTCCTCTTTCCCAATTTGGATGCTCTTTATTTCTTTTTCTTGTCTGGTTGCTCTGGATAGGATTTCCAGTACTATGTTGAATAGAAGTGGTGACAATGGGGACTATCATTTTGTTCCAGTTCTTAGCAGGAATGTTTTCAACTTTTCCCCCTTCAGTATGGCGTTGTCTGTGGGTTTCTCATATATATGGCTTTTATAATTTTGAGGTATGTTCCTTCTATGCAGAATTTGTTGAGAGTTTTTATCATGAAGGGTGCTGGATTTTGTCAAAAACTTTTTCTGCATCTATTGAGATGATCGTGTGATCTTTGTTTTCTCTGCTGTTTAGGAGTGAATTACATTTATTGATTTACATATGTTCAACCATACTTGCATCCCTGGGATGTAGACCACTTGGTCATGTTGGATTTTTTTTTTTTTTAATGTACTGCTGAACTCAGTTTGCTAGTATTTTTGAATCAATATTTATAAGAGATATTGGTCTGTGGTTTTCTTTTTTTAATGTGTCTTTCTCTGGCTTTGTATCAAGGTGATACTGGCTTCATAGAATGAGTTGGGGAGGATTTCTTCTTCTTAATATTATAGAAAAATTTCTGTGCAATAGGTACCAGCTCTTCTTTGTGATCTGATAAAATTCAGCTGTAAATCCATCTGGTCAGGAGCTTTTTTTGCCAGGAGATTTTTTTATTACTGCTTCAATCTCACTGCTCGTAATGGGTCTGTTCACAAGTTCTATTTCTTCCTGATTTAGGCATAGAAGGTTGCATGTTCCTAGGAATTTGTCCATTTCCTCTACATTTTCTAGTTTATGTGCATAGAAATTTTCATAGTGTTCATAAATGATATTTGTAGTTCTGCGTTATCACTTGTAATATCTCCTTTTCCTTTCTGGTTCAGCTTATTTGGGCCCTTTCTCTTCTATTCTGGGTTAATCTAGCAAGAAGTCTATTAATTTTGTTTATCTTTTCAAAGAACCAACTTTTGTTTTGTTGATTCTTTGTTTGTTAGTGTATTTTTTTGTTTGGTTTTTTTTGGGGGGTGGTGTTCCAATTCATATAGTCCTGCTCTGAGCTTTGTTATTTCTTTTCTTCTGCTGGCTTTGAGTTTGGTTTGCTCTTCTTTTTCTAATTCCTTAAGATGTGATATTTGGTTGTTAATTTGTGATTTTTCTGTCTTTTTGAGGATAGGCATTTAAGGCTATGCATTTTTCCCTTAGGACTGGTTTTGCTGAATGCCATAGATTTTGATAGCTTGTGTCTCCTTTGTCATTAAGTTTGAGAAATCTTTTGATTTCCATTTAATTTCATCATTGACCCAAGAATCATTCAGCAATAGGTTGTCTTATTTCCATGACTTCAAGTAGATTTGAGATTTTTCTCTTAGAATTGATTTCTAGTTTTATTCCACTGTGGTCTGAGAAAATACATGGTATGATTTTGATTTCTTTTTTAATTTATTGAGACTTGTTTTGAAGCCTAAGATATGATCAATTTAGAGAATGTTTCATGTGGTGACAAGAAGAATATATATTCAGTGGTTTGGGAGTAACATGTTATAAATGCTTGTTAGTTCCATTTGATCTAGAGTCCCATTTAAGTCAAGTGTTTATTTATTTATTTTCTGCTTCAATGATGTGTCCAGCTCTGACAGTAGGCTGTTGAAGTCCCCAGCAATTATAATGCTACTATTTATCTCTTTACTTAGATCAGGTAGAATTTGCTCTATCAATCTGGGAGCTCCTATGTTAGGTGAATGTGTATTTAGGATTGTTTTGTCTTCTTGTTGAATTGCTCCCTTTATCATTATATAATGATCATATTTGCCTTTCTTTACCATTGTGATTTAAAGTCAATATTATCTGATATGTGAATGGCTACATCTTTTCTCTTTGGTTTCCATTTCCATAGGATACTTTTTTCTATCCCTTCACTTTGAGTCTGTGTGAGTCCTTGCAGGTTAGATGTGTTTCCTGGAGACAACAGATACTTGTGTTGTGTTTTTTCATCCATTCAGCCAGCCTCTGTCTTGTGGGACTCAGGAAAAATCTAGGCTGGGAGTAATCAATACATAGATGGCAATTAAAGACATGAAATTATATAGAATGAAGTAGGGGATGGCTATGTAAACAGAAAATTTCCAAGATTGAGTTCTAGGGCACTCTGGTGTTCACAGGTCCAAGGCAGGGGAGGGGGAGATAGGGAGGAAGGTCCAGCAAGAGCCTGAGACATAGGTAGAAAACCAGGTGAGTGTGGTATCCTAGAATCTAAGAGAATAAAGTATTTCCCTGAACTCTCTGGGTTCTCAGACTTTGAACTGAGACAGACTGTTGGTTCTGTAAGATCCCCACGATTTTATTTTACAAGAATTTCTATGTGCCCTGAGAACACTCTAAATAGATCTGAGACTCACTCCTCAAGATGTTGCACTGCCTCTGACATGGCCAGACTGCAGTGCAAATAGGGGTCAGAAGACCTCATTTTTTTGTGTGACAACTTTCCTATTGTCACCAGTGGAACCCAAGACAAATTACTTTACCTGCCCATAAAGTGGTCATAGCCATTGCTCCCTGCCCTATCTGCAGGCTAATGAAGGACAAAAGCAACTAAGAGGTGGATAAAGTGTTCTGTACACTGTTGGAGCAGTGTACCAAGGAAGCCATCCACTGCTGTGACAGAGGTTCACAAAGGCCACTGTTGTCTACTCTGAAGGCCCAGAGAAGCCAGGCCTCTTAGCAGATGCCCAGGGAATCATGAGACCCAATTCTAGCTGGTGTATCGTTTTACAAGTTACTTCTCAATAGATATCTATTCTTTTTAGAAATACTCTTTTTAAATACCCTAAAATATTGTTTTAAAAGTACTGACACCTAGAATTTTATAATTAACGTGGCTCCATTCAAGAAATTCTTCACTATGGTAGATCATAAAATGTGATATATTTATAGAATGCTTTTCCAAATTAACACCATCGAGTCTTTATATCTACACATATTGTAGGCCTGTCACTGCTTTTAAGCCCTTTAATGTATTTTTGAGGAAAAAAATCAAAGATTAAAAAAAAAGAGAGACTATATTGCCAGATGTAGATTTTTAATATATGGTGCTCAATGCATTTTTATGTTTTAAATTTTTTTTCCAAATTCCACCAAAAAATAAATTAAAATTAACAACATCTTGTAAATTATCTATATTCACCTTCACTATCTTAAGGTACACAATTATCAAAGCTGATATTGAACACAAACAAATTGATACAATTCAGTACTCTGATAAAATTCATAGTCAAATAAGTTACGTTAAACTGCATGCAATACAACTTTATGTTCCATACCATCTTTAATATAAACTATACCAAATGGCTCTTCAAACTTAAAAAGTGCAATTACAGAGTGCAAACAAAGCAAAAAGGAAATACATTTAACATCAACAAGTTTGAATAACAGATATGTTTTAGATACAATTATTCTTTAGTTAAAACTTTTAAAATGTATTCTTAAAACACTGTTTATACAAGTTGTTACTCCCTCTTCTCTTGTATGAATAAGAATAGAAAAAAGTTAGAAAATATTGGGCAGCAAATTAAACACATTTTCTTTCAAAAGTCTACAGAATGGATATTGGAGTAAAAATTACAAAATGGGTCAGATGCAGGGTTTTTTTTAACTGCATTATTGTATTCAACAGAAATTAGACACCAGAATCATGTATTTGCTGTAAAAAAATTGATTTATCACCTGATGGCAGTTGAATTTAGTCAACTCTCTGAGAGACCATAAATTATGAACGTAAGTATTTAGGGTTGCTTTGGTTCTCATGCATTGAATATGCATAGTCCCTTCTAGAAATAGATATATGTGTAAAAAATAAGAAATCTGTGAAATAAGGAAGGTAGATTAAATATGAGCCAAAATCTTTTCATTGTCTATAGAATACATGAGCTGACACCAATAATTTTTTATGTTTAATCATTATTATACTCACTAAAACATCTATTTTTGACTTATTTTCACTAATAAAAAAGAAATCTGGTTATCCTTTATGATGGAACATGCATTTATAAATAAAGATTTAACTTTTTCAGGGGTTAATTTTTAAAGTATTCTTAAAAGAAATACCCCAAACTATTTGCATCTACTTATTTAAGTAATATGAATTGAGATGCTCAAGATAAACCAAAATACCAAAGTCGAGATGCTACAATAAATCTTTTGTAAATGAAACAATTGGATTGAAGCTGAGTTCTTGGTGAGTCAATAAGTTTCTTTTAATAGCCAAGATAACTGCAAATAGGCAAACTTCCTTTATATCAACTAGATGTCAATAAATACAGTCATCCCTTATATCCACAAGGAACTGATTCCAGGATCCCCTTTCTGGGAACACTAAAATTAGGCATGGATGCTCAAGTCTCTCATATAAAGTGGCTTTGTATTTGCATATAACCCACGCACAACCTCCTGTATGCTTTATTTATAATACCTAATGTAAATGCATCGTAAATAATTATACTATATTTTTATTTGTATTATTTTTATTGGGTTTTTTTCAAATATTTTCCACCCATAGTTGGCTGAATCCACCAATGTGGGTCTTGTGGATGTGGAAGGCTGACTGTATGTATAAGATTTAGAATATGTCCTCACACAGCACATTTGACTTCAGCTCTATTAAATGGGAAACAGAAATATCCTTTTAGAACTCACTGATTTTTATTTTATTTTCCTTTATCTTGTTCTAAAGTTTTATAGATTGGTTAATAGAGCAACAAATGAGTGTAATTCTATGATCCATTGAGCTCATGTATACATATGTGTTTGCATATGAATGTGTGTATGTATATTGTTTGTTTTGTCTGCTTGTTTTCCTAATAGTAAGGGCCAGCCAGGTTCAGGACTTTAGAGAGTTACGTGATCACACCAGGGTACACAACTCATGGATACACACGGAGGCAAGTCCTAGCACCTGGTACTTCAGAGGTCAGACGTGGCTTATTATCTCTTTATGGCCCTAGCACACGCCAGGAAAGAAGTGGAGGAAGAACAGATCCTCCCTGACCTGGTATATGATCCAGAGACACTCTACCCAAAGGTTTAGCATTCAATGAAGCAGCCTCCCATGAAATCCAAGGTGGTGAAAGCAATGGCTCCTTATGCCATTGCCTAAAATACTCTTGTTAATCCACTGAGACCAATGGGCTCAGAGTACAGAAGAAACATTCGTCTCTTACAAAAACAAAAAAATAACAGAAAAGAAAAGGCCCCAGTTTCATTTCAGTCTCCATAGTAAGGTGTGGTTAAGTCTCTAAATTTTAAAAGCTTTCAAATGAGTTTTTCATTTGGAAAAACAGACTAGGATTTATTTCTCCTATTTTTCCCACTTCCTGTGTCAAGACGTAATTTTAAATATATAAATTTGAATTCTAGAAGAAGCTACTTACTGAGTTCTTTTTAAGTGAAAGCTCTCTTGAATAGAAAACGAAACAACTGTATTTCCATCTTCTACAATATAGAGAGCTATTGTCTTATTATATTTTAAAATAATAACTAGTCTAGTCCATCAAGTTTTGGACTATGATTTTATCTTCTTTCCTAGAGCTTCAACAAAGCTCTAGAAAAGAAGCACAAATTTTAGCTTCAAGTGTGGATATTTTTCTCATTGTTGGAATAGCAACAATTACCTCACATAAATGTTGCATTATACAAAAAGAGAAGCTATGAAATACCATTGCTTACAGAAAAGATGGCATAAAATTAAGTTTTTCAATTCATTTCGTGTAAGGAGGATCTGTCAGGTGAGTGACTGGTATCCGTAGGAGGTGTGTGTTTGCACAGGGGACTGTCTCTGCCCCTCCAGGCTGATAAACCCAGTTATAGCTGAGACGGTTGAAGAAACTATAGCCTCCCTGAACTTAGTTGGTTCAAATGTGTAGTGTTTAGCACAGGATCTATACTTGATTCTCCTGAATTCCAATTGCATTACTGTTTTAATACATGACAAAGTGGTGCCAACCAATATATCAGACCATGATATGGTTAAACCAATTATCATTAATGTAAAGAGTAGAAAAAAATATATGCATTTGAATATATGCATACAGGCTTACAGAAATCTGTCATTTGCTGACACTTCTTAAGCCATGACCTGGGCATCACTCACTCCTATGCACTGTGTAGCAGGAATATAAGCTTCGAAGCTTTTGATAAAGCATTTACCTCAGAAAATTATTTTTTACAAAAATATCAATTTTCTTTTAATATTAAATATTTTCTGCATATTATATATTAGCAAATAGTCTGTCAAAAATAAAACAAAAATAAAAAAACATTTTTCAAGTATATTAAAATTAAAAATACATGTTGTCGACCTGACACATGACCCAACATAAATATTATTAATAAAATAGGAATATTAACATGAAGCAGGCAGGCTGCGCATCTGTGCCCGTAAGATTGACAGTGCCCCTCAGACTTGTGACAGTGCTGGATCCCCTGAGGTCACCCTCTCATATTCGTTCTTTGGTTCTTTACTTTTTTGATTTCTGTACCTGGAAATATTCAGAAATGGAACTGTTAGCATTGCAGGTAACACTAATAACAAAGTATGTTAACAAAAAAACCCCAAATATATGGACGACAAAGGTACATTAGCATAGGGTTTCCAAAATGACAAAGGTCAACAGGTTTGGGTTGGACAAGTTAAAAAAATAATAATAATAAAAAATAAGGGAGTAAGGGGTGGTATTCTGTAGTCAAAAATTTTAGCAGAAAATAGTGAAATAGTTAAAAGACTTCTCCAAGGCATTAACATGATCATAAATATAAAGTTCCAGGAAGGCATGTGACCATATTTAAGCCTGGGTTTTGTTTTTTGTTCTCTCTCTCAATCTCTCTCTCTCTTTCTTTCTTCCTCCTCTCTTCCCTTTTCTTTTTCTTCCTTTTCCTCTTTCTTTCTCCTTTGCTACTAAGGAAATGACATTCAAATGTCACACGACATTACTACAATACATCTTTACCCATCGCACTGATATAATACTATCAGCAAGCAAAATTAAAATAATTAATATTTATTAGGCACTAATTAGGTGACCTACAATGCTCTAAGTGCTGTACATGCATTACTTATTCTAGCCTCACATTTGCCATTATTACTGTCATGCCCTCTCTTTATTTTTTCCTCAGTCTTCAGCTTCTGACAATATTGTATATAGGATGGGGTAAGACTGTTTTTGAGGACTGATAACAATAGGCATTTATAATTGGCAACTCATTTCTATGAGTCTATCTTAAATTTTAAGATCCCAAGCCTTTGAGGTTATTAATTTATAGGGCTGTGTTCTATGAAATTCAAAATTTCACCCAACAAATTAAATATAGGTTGCTAAGTGAAATATCATGTTTTATGGTTTACTTTTACATGTATTTATCATCTTCAATACTAAAAATAGCCCTGTAATTAATTTCTGTCTGTATTTTATAGAGGACAGAATACTGGCTTACCATCTGCAGAAATAGTACATGGAACCGGCGACTATGATGAGAAACAAGAAAATAAGAATCACAGTCAACGCCACATACTCTTTGCTCAAGGGTTGGTGGACGGTTAAAAAGAAGTGTTCACACCGGAGACCAGTATAACCCACTTCACACCTAAAGAGAAATACAAGAGAAAGATCAATTATTTTTTTAAAAAATCATGGTTATGAATCAGTTTCATAGGAACTAACTTCACTCTGTAAAGCAAGAAATCAACAACATTTGCTAGAAGTTGTAAAGACGAATTCAAAGACTGACACTTTAGAGTTGGGCCAGTGTTGGCAAAAGGGGTCCATGTAGCTCTTGGGCTATACCACGCTATTAAAATGATATTTTGGCTCAGCTGCCTGGATAGCTGATAATCTAGGATGGTGTTTTGTAAATTTTGTAGGTTTAAGATGCCTTTTGTCTAAATCAGTGTAATCAATTCATAAAAACAATGGCTGTGGAAGCCAATGGAAAGATGAGAAGCAGAGATGTTGTCACAGTAGGGGTGACAGGGAGGCATCTGAAGCCCTCCCCACTCTGTACCCACGAAGCATCTGTGCAATTTGAAAGCTCCTCTTTTGTTCCCTAATTTTAAAAAACTCAGTTAATAAAGTTTCTAATTATATATATATATATATATATATATATACACACACACACACACACATACATACATATATATATACTGCATCCTAACAGGTCATGGAAACATAGGGTAAATTCAAAATATAAAACAGAGAAAGAGAGGGAGAATGAGAGAGAGAGAGACAGAGAAGGAAATACACCTTTAAAAACTGCTTTCATTTATTTTTGGAATATTACCTGCAGTAATTTTCACTCATGTCCACCAGGTAGATACACTGTCCGTGCAGACAGTAGCCGTTCATGTCCGAGCTGCACTTTGTTATGGACACTTGAGCCACACGTGGATTATCTTCTGTCTGAACTGTGAAGGAAGTGGAAAGTTGAACATATTCTGTTGCCTTCTTGGAATCTTTAATCGCCCTTTCTCAACAGTAACCACTGAGCTATTTTGGTCAAGCAGGGCAGACACCAACCAGTCAAGGAGAATCTTCAGGCATAGGAAGTCATTATCATTCTCCCTAGACCAATAACAAACCCCTGAACCCAAGGAAAATGTCCAACAGACTAAACAAAACAAAACAATACTTGAAGATTTCGGTCTCAAAAGACAAACTTTAAGGACACAAAAGGCAAGTTTAACACATACACACATCATTATCTGTCCCAGTAGGTATCATTCACTTCCCCAAACAAAATTTGTCTAATTTTTTCAAGTCTCAAAACAATTCTGAAATTCATTACTCTCTCCCCAAATCGCAAACTGAAGCCATTATTAATTCAAAAGAGTTTAATTCCTATAACAGGTTTTTGCACCAGTGAGTCTTATTTCAGTGTGCGTTCATAAATTGTTGAGCTTACCATCAAAGAAATCAACCAAGGAACCCCAATATGTCTGACAATGAGACTTGAACATGGACTAGACAAACCCTAAGTTAGAAATGCTTCTATGAGGGCCCATAAACCAATAAAACAATGAAAAAGGAGCCTCAATAAATAGTGTTGCAGCCTACATGTAAAGCTCAATGTAGAATGTTTTAGTTACTGTTACTAAAACATGAAGGATGTTTATTAAATTATTTTTTAAGTGTCTTAATGGTGATACTCTTGCCCAAATAACAAAAGAAGGAAAAAAGGGTGGTAGGGGAGGCTGCCCAAAGCTCCAGGGAGCCTGGTGGTGAGGGACAAGAGAGAAGGTAAAGTCATTGTGGAAAATGTCCTGTTTTCTCAAGGTGACCCTTGACTTAGTAGCTCAGCCTGAATATGAAGGCCCCCCTTAGACCACGTCCAGAATCTGCAGACCTTGAGGGAGAAATTGTGTTTTACTTGTCTTTTTATCTCTATGCCTGAGCATGGTGTTTGGCACATACTGAGTACTCTACAAATGTGTTTCTGAATGAACACTGGGACTGGAAAGAAAGGATGTCATTTGTTACTCTTACAAATAGTATGTGTGTGTGTGTGTGTGTGTGTGTTTATATGTGTGTGTGTATGTGTGCATATATATAGGGAGAGAGAGATAGAGGAAGAAAGAGAGGGAGGGAGGGAGAGAGAGAGAGAGGAATTCTACTGTGTACAGAGGTTTCCTGTTCTGTCTGGAATCCAGCCTGTTAGTGTGGGTTTTCTGATGATGGTTTTGCAGTAAATCTCCAGGGAATGGCCAAAGGGAATCTGATTTTCTTTGTTCTCTATCTCTTTAAGTTTAAATATGTATATATAATTAGATGTCTGGCTCCTCTTCCATCAGTTATACTTTTATACATTTTTTTCAGAACTCTAGTTCATAAGGTCATAAAAAATTAATACAGCAGCTATTCCTTTCCCCCTCTTTTTTCATTGCCACATATTTATAATTTCTGAGTTTGCATTTTTGTTTAAAAATGGGAATTCCTTTGATGCAACATGGACCATGCTAGGCTTACCTAAAGCTGTGCAGTTATCACTGGCTTCCCCTGGGATACACGATGGAATCACAGTTGTGCTGAGAACAGCTTGGAGAAGATGGAAAGCTGTTTATGGAAGAAAATCGAATATATAACTAGTGTTTCAAGGAAAGAAAGCTCAATCAAATTTCCACATAATGACAGTATTTATAAAGCTGTTTTAAATATTTCAAGGATTTAATCCATCAAACCATGAAAGAAAATAATTCATGGAAACAGGCATATAAATGAAATTAAATGAAACCTAGGTCTTCTGTCCAAGGGTAAAAGCCTTGGCATTATATTCATAGTTATAGAATTGATCTGCTCTAAACGTTTCACAACAACATTTTCAAAGACCTGTTTTTAAATTTAATTTCCTAATAAGCCTTCAGCTGGAGAATTTCCACTGTTTTACTCTATGATATGTCCAGCCAGGGTGATGCTGTAAGGTAGACCCATCACAGAAGAAGGCTTCAAATAAAAAATCAAGTTCTACTTATGATAACAACCAAATAGGAAATTCAACCTCAAAAACATTCATTGTTGATTTAAGTGCCTAAGTTACTCCTTGTGCTGTATTGCATGTGAAAATAGATTTTAATTTTCTTTTTTTTTTTTAGAAGTTGGGGGGTCTCACTCTGTGGCCCAGGCTGGCCTCAAATTTCTAGGCTCAAGCCATCCTCCTCCCACCTCAGCCTCCTGAGTAGCTCATACCACAGGCACAGATTTCAATTAATAAAATGTAATCTGAGTAAAATCAGAATATATGTTATCTAATATGAGAAGAGATGGACATGGCATATAAACCACATTAAGCCCTAGAATCAGTTTCTGTCAGCACAGGAAGAATCTGAACCAGCTGTCCATCACATAGTGAAAAGGTAAATACTGGAAGCAAGCATCAGAGTGACTCACGAAGTTTCTGAATTGTATAGACATCGTGATAAAAAGCCTTTTGATTGCATACGTGTGTACTTAAAAGCATTTAGCCTCTTCTGTTTATGCTTCAAGTGTTTGCACTTCAACCACTCTTTCTAGTCTATGTGAGTAACTTTTGTCATAAATATTAACGTTGGTGGTAACAATAGTTGCTACCAGCAGCAAACATTTCTCGGACATGCGCTGTGTGCCAGGTGTGGTCCTCTTTGCCTTATCTATATTGTGTATTTAATCCCCTCAGTGACTAGATGAGGATGATACTATTATTATCCCCACAAAACATATGAAAAAACTAAGGCATAAAGAGTTTAAATAGTGTGTGGTATGGTGGCTCACACCTGTAATCTCAGCATTTTGGACAGTGAGACCAGGAGTTCAAGATCAGCCTGGCAATATAGCTAGACCCCCATGTCTAAAAAAAAGAGTTTAAATAACTTTTCCCAAGGATACATGTTGTTAAATGACTACACGATAGAATTTGCAGATAAGCAATAATATTAGAGTATGAAGATGTCACACAGAACAAACTAGGATAACTGTAATTGAAGCTGAGTATTTAGCCCTGTTGGGAGGTAGCAAAATATGGTAGAAAAGCAATCTTGTGCGAAAAATTTGAACTATGTATTTTGGACAAATTAATTAACTTCTCTGGGTCTTAATTTTCCCTGTCTTAAAGAGTTTGGAGGAGAATGAAATGAAATAATATTTTTCTGAAATGCCTGACCAGAGACTCTTCAAAATGTTCCTTGATGCTCAACTTCTATTGCTAGATAGACTCTGTTTCAGCAGGGTATGTGGTAGTGCCCTCTAGTGGTTATAACAAGTATATAAATCTCCATAAATAGGCACTTATAAAAGATTATCTAATCTGTGTAATACAAGAATTTTATTTTTTTCTCAGAGAGGGCTTGTATCTGCTAAGCAAATTGCATATTCTTTAGGTTCTAAAACTAAATTACACATCAGCATAATAGTTTATATTTTCATATTTCCTACATGACACATAACAATCTTGGGAAGTAGTTATTAATCTCAAATAAATAACATCAGTGCATTTAAATTAAATGTCTTTTCCAAGATCACTTATCTTGTGACCACAGAAGAGAAGAGCTAAAAAAAATCTATCTTTTGACATCAAGCCACGTACTCTTTCAATGACTTGAAAATAATGTTTTCTTTAAGGGTTTCCCCACTCCATGTTTTTCCTAAAATATAAACGTTGCTTCAGTTATTATTATAGATTAAAAAATATTTTTCTTAAATGACAAAAAAATGGCTAAAGCCTAGATTTCATTGTCAGTTGAACAGAGATGAAATCTATTTTCCACATAACTTCTTATGGAGGATTAGCTGGACTCTCATCCAAGTTAATGTTGTTTTACATCTCAGTAATAATTTTGTCATACACTTTCACTATGGAAGAATTAAACAGTTTTCTTTTAATAAACTGGAATTCTAGTTACATTCTTGACACTCCCATTTCTCCATGCTTCCTCAACTAAGGAAAACTTTGGAGAGCACATTACTAATTCACCTATAGGGAACTGCTAGCCAGGAAAATTGCACACTGGAAGCTAGTTTCTCTATCCTTTGCAGAAACCAAAGCCTAGCTTTTCTGTTTATAGTTGCTTACAACTGCAAGCTGTAACTATAATTGAATCCAACTAATTGTTTTGGGGTGTTGCTTTCAGTCTTCCTTTTTATAAAGGATTTTAGTAGTTGTTAGTTTTTCCACTGTTGGAAACTTTGTTCCAGTTATTCAGGCCACAGGTGAAATGTTTGTCTTTGTTAATTAAAGAATGTTCAGCACAGGGTGTGCCTCCACGAAAGCTGGGCTCTCCTTACCGGTGACGCTCCCTTGGACACAGTCCGTAGTTCAAGACAGTTTCTGTGAGACTTGCTGCATTAATCCTGCAGCAGGATATTGTGCAGATGGAATTGTAAATACTTTTAAATGGGCCTTTCACATTAAAGTGTATACCTGCAGTTCCATCATGGATGGGTGTAGTCAAAAAACAGCAAAATTGGTTCTAAATCATGTGTCCATCTACCCAGCTCTATAAAGCAGTGGTTCTCAAGTGTCTCTCCAATATGCCTCTGCCCAAAACTCTTGCAAACTGGGCTAGAGGAGTGAGTGGGGGTGGACAGAAGTTTGAAAAATCCACCCACAGAGGACTACTATGTCCACCATCCATTCACCCTTAAGAATCACTACTCATTATTGTAAAGTCACACAGGGAAGGAATAAATGCTAAAGTCACATCCATATATTCCCTTAATCTTTCAGTATTTTTAATGCTCTTAACATTACTTGAACACAATCTTTTTATGATTCAGTTGCAAATATTATAATTGATCCTTGACAATGGATCCCTGCTAAGAAAGTAATTCACTATGATATTAAGTATTTTGGATAGTATCTGTGTCAAAAAATGTATCTGGTGGCAAGCTCTACATGGCTAACTGGGACACAGAGGAATTCAGTGCAAGGTGACATGGTCTAGATGACCTATAAACTCAAAACTGGCAGCTGAGACATCTATTTCAATATAGCTACAAAAATCAAAACGCATTCAGAGGCGTTCTCTGTCAAATTTCCAAATGGGTTTTCAGAATGTGTAGCTCACCTTTTCATCTCTCTATCTTCATTTTTTCAGAGGTTGTGTTTCAGTGAAATCTCAAGTGTGCCAGCAGGAAGTGATGCCAGTGACTCACAGGATACAAATCGCCTCTTCCCTGTGAGTCAGGGCCGGGCCTGCACGCTTACACAACGCTGGGGCCTGCACGTGGGAGTGGCTGAGAGCCATCGCTGGAATGGGGATGGCGCTAGACGTTGTGGGCCTGGTGGTTACCCAATATCAGACAGAATGCCAGATGGAGAAACTGTTCTTCGCATTGCATAGAGTTTCTTTGGACCTTGCTCCCTAATGGTCCCACTGAGGGGCCTATCCAGAAGGAGGCCAGTGCAGAGGGGGCTGGGATTCCATGACTGGCTGACCAAGCCAAGTCAGCAAAATCAACTGCAAATCTCAGGATGAAATTATATTCCTCTGGAAAATGGTCAAGCAAATAAAAATGATCCCAAATAAAATGAGATGGGTTATAGAATGAAAAGAATGCACCTTATTTTCCCAATTTAAGCTTTTAGACTATTTAGACCAGAACAGCAAACTCTCGATGAATCATAGCATTTGCCCAGCCCAAACAGACAGCAAAATCTGCTTTGTTCACACTTTTGCTGTGGTCACACGCCAACCTACTCACAGACTGTTAGTTTTCTACCTTCTTCCACGGCAGTCTGTAATTTTAGGATTTGTCTGTTATGTAGTAGGCTTGTTATGTCTTGTGTACTTTCAAGGAGCAAATATGCCTTCATTGTTTTTGGATGTCTTTTTACTTTAAATTAAATTCCACTATTAGATATGGTCTTGCTTCATCTTGGTTAAAATAATTACAAACTCTTTATCACACCAAATACTGAAAAGACCTACTGTCAGCACTTTCTAGTAACAGCTTAATTTTCAGAGAATATATATATGTGTGTGTGTGTGTGTGTGTGTGTGCGTGTGTGTAGAAAACTAACCTTGCCTTCTACCAGGAATCATTCTATTCCTGCAATTTTTTAATGTTAACTTTATAACTAAGCTTCATTAAGTGCTAAACGTAAAAACTAACTATAGCTATTTGAAATTAAACATCATGAAACCAGAAGTTCGTATAATAATAGGTTAAAGGTAGTATTCCTTTTAATTTTGAATTTTAAAAGACATAGGATCTTCCTTGTCAAGTGGAAAAAAAGATTTACTATGCCATGTTTTCTAATTCACAGGCATTAAATCATATCCTCCAATTTGGGTAGTAATTTCATCCTTCAAAGTGCTCATGTATTTTAGTACTCATATATTTTACTCACATATTATCACACAATACTATACTTAAAGCTATTCAAATCAGGAATTACTGAGTTAAAATATAAGGAAATTGTCTATTTTATCCAAAAAATGAATTTAAAGATGTGTATCTTGTTCACAATAGAAGTATTTCCAGAATGCTGGATAGTGTATATCAACCCTTGTTAAGAAGGGTACAATTTAAATTAATCTGGGTGTTTTGGAATTGTGTGACTAAGAGCTCCAAAGGTGGAG